CCACCTCCTTTAAATCTCTCTCCCTCTCTGTCTCTATCCCTGTATGTGTGTGTGTGTGTGTGTTTGTGTACATACATGTAGAACTACATATACATGAGATATGGGTGTACAAATATAAATGTGGGCAGATACACATGTGTATGTGTACATGCATGGAGATATATATGGACAGATATATGCATGGATATATATGAAAATACAGATATGCGGGCAGATATATACATATAAATCTGGATATATATGATATATAGATGAAAACATATAGTTAAAGATATATGTGGAGATATATGGGCAGATATATATATACACATATACATGGAAATACTGTATAGATACTTGGATATATACCGAAATATATAAACATAGATATATGGAGGTATATAAATTAGCAGGAGCTTGTATGGTCACTGTCTTAGTTCAGGATTCTCCAGAATATATACTATCAGTTATTAGCAGTGCCCATACAAGTTCCTCAATCCACACTATGAGGAGGTGCAAGATGAAGACTCCAGCCCCTTGGAAAACCTACTCTGCTGTGGTTTAAACCTTGATGATCTCAAGGGCCTCAAATGCTCATAGCCTTGGCTTTCAGAAGATGACTGGATTGTGGAAGCTTATACCTGACTTGTTGCTAGGAGGTAGGGTCTAGTCAGAAGAGACAGCTTACTGAGGGCATGGCCTGGAAGGCTGATCCATCTCCCTAGCTCCTCCCTTGATGTTCTCTGCTTCCTGTCTGCTATGCCTTGAGAAGCTTGTTCTGTGCTAAGTCCCTCTGCTATGGTGCCCTGCCTTGAAGCCCATGGACTTTAAACCTCTATAACAGTGAGCCAAAATAAAACTCTCCTCCTTTAAGTTCCAAATATCAGGTATTCTGTCACAGTGACAAGAAGTGACTAAGGCAAGTCCCTTCCCATCCCATCTCAATGCTTTAGTTTTTGTTTTTGTTTCATTTTATTTTTACTATTCTGAACTCTTATGTACTAATTTTTTAAGAAAAAATAGTATTAAATTTAAATTTACCTACTAAAGATTTTGCCCAAATTTCAATAATATGCTCACTTAATTTGAGTTGTACTTATTCAAAATCTCTCCACTTGGGCCAGGGATTTAGCTTAGTGGTGTTGCCACCTGCCTCGCAAGTGCAAGGTACTGAGTTTGATCTCGGGTACCAAAAAAAAAAAAATTCTCTCCTCATAAAATATTTATTTTCTGAGTTTATTATATAGTTTGCAAAAAGGTTAAGATATTTTATTCATTTATTAGTCAATACAGAATTTTGAACCAAGATTCATAATGATATATATATATATGCATGCAAAGCAAATTATAGTTTTTAAAAATCCAACCAAAGTAGAAGTCCTTGTGCTGTTTTTTTGAAGACAAAGAAGCCACTTACTCACGATCTCTCTAAGGTATACAATTCAAGAAAAATTAACCCTTTAAAACATTTCTCATTAATTCAATCATATTACAAAGACAGCACTCACACGAGGACCCAAAGATAAGAAAGCCAGATAACCTTCACCAACTCATGCAATGAGTTGAAGTGACCTATTTTACAGGTGAACAAGCTGAGGCACAGAGGTATGTGCACTATGATCTATGGTCCTTTATCTGCCCTACACCTACCTCCCTGGTGTCCCTCACCTCCCTCTGTTTATGGAGAGGCAAGCTTGCCAGCAAAAAGAAGCATACCAGTACAGGTGTCCCTTATAAAGAACAAGAAAGGATGGTTTGCCATGAACCGATCTCGGATGGGGAGTCTTTTTACAGCAATATTGTCCCCAGTGGCTGCTGCTGCCTCAGTGCCCTTTTCATTGACATCCACATAGGATTTGTGGATAACTTTTGATAAATACAGGCCCTTGTCTGGTGACATTCCAGAGAAATCAGCATTGGCTGGGTTGAAGATATTTGTCATCCCTAGGGATTTTAGCAGGGAATTTAGCTCATATTTGATTTGGAGTTTGAATCGGGGGATATGCACCTCCACTTCTCTCTCCATCATGTTAGAAGAGTTGGTCCACTCCTGAAATGTCCTCACGTTCAGCTGCTTCTCTATCTGAGAGATGAAACACAGATGAGTGCCAGAGAGTCAAACACACAAGTTCTTCATGAATGCATTTGTTTTATTCTTCTCAGTGGGAATGGTTCAAGTTCATGACTTTCTTTTCTATTTTTAAAGAATGTTCACATCCTCTATGAGGAAAAAAAAAAGTAATTCTAAGCTGCAACTTCCCTTCTCTATTCTCTACTTCTTATCAAAATTCATCATTAAACGTCACACTGTACACTCTTGATTCCTTGATGTTTCTCTCTATTGCCCCTGCTTCCTGGATGAATTTCTTCTTGGAGCTCATAACTGAAACATGCAATCACACCCTTCTTGATTACTTTTGTTCTTATTTTGTTCCTGAGATGTCAGATCCCCTTATTCCACTTCTATCCTAGCTGACCACACGTCCTCAGGGCCTAATCCCCACAAATTGGCCTCATACATAAGCACATCTGTTTCTGTGGGCATGATCGTGCTTCTCTGACTACAATTCTGTCTTTCTGATGGGCACACATCTTACTTCTTAATCAAAATGCACATATCCAGCCCAACTCTCTCAGGAAGCGCTACATATGCTCCCCCACCCCACTGAGCCACACTGCTTTTACCTCTAGGCCAGTTCCTACTGACTAAGAAACTGGTGGATTTAAAAACCCAAAACTTTGGCCATCCTATCTGTATGAGATTCAGCTTTTGAAGATTCCCAGGGACTCTTCTGTTTCCCTCAGAAATAATTCGTTATTCTACAGAGCATTGGGAGGTTCTGGCTAGGTTGGGGGGGTGTGGTCACTCCAAGGCCTCCCTGTGCTAAGGAGCTTTTGGATGCAGCCAGGAAAAGGGAGTCGGACTCAAATTCCTGCCACCACAATGACCTCTTCTTCATGGTTGTGGTGCTCATTTCCTTCACAAAACAATGATCAGCCCAAGAAAGTCTGTTACAGTCAGAACACTGTCCTTGATTGTCTTAAGTTTCTGTGGACCAGGATCTCAAACAGAATTATAACTTACTTATTATAGAAATAAATCTCCCAAATGCCAAAGGACCCATATGACTTGTACAGTGTGAGAATGGGCTGCCCTACCTACGTACACTGTCTTGAAGGGCAAGGACCATGTCCTTTTCTTCTCACAGCTCCTGTGGCAGTACTACGAAGACTAAATCAAAAATCAGTGGCTGCCACACAGACATCAAAGACACAGACAGAGTGTGCGTGAGTTAGTATGTGCACATGTTCACATGCTTTAGCTGAATGCTTTAGCGTTCTTGTACTATATTACCTGTCCTAGATGAGCTGTGCCCACTGGCAGCAGAATAATCATACTTAATTTGTTGTGAACATAGGGCAGCTCAAGAACTTGCATCTGTGGCTTCTTTATGACAGCTAACTTAAATATTCCAGTTTGGTACATCATTTCCACAGTTACTCTTCTACCCTATTAAAGGAAAAGATTGTAGTTAAACAGTCTATTGGTTTTCTTATGTAACAGAAATATCTGTATGAACACTAAAGGCATGAGTGAAATGTAAATTATAAAATATACTTTTTATTACTTTTCTTTGTATGCTATATCAGTTTTCATTCTAATATAAGCCAAAACTAAAAGTTGAATATTTATAAAAATATCTATGTATGTTAATTCTACAAAAGACATTTTCTTTGTAAATCCAATTAGACACTCCAGAAGAAAACAACACAGATAGTTTTACTTTCTTCTCTGTCAGAGAAGCTTAGTATACAAAGGCATTGGTTATGTGTCTTGTGAGAAAGGTTACTTACCATCACTTAATAAGGGAAAAATAAAAATTCATAGAAAGCATAGTTAAAGGAACCAAGGGCAACTTAGAACAATGTTTTCATTAAATATCTCTAAATTATCCTTTAATGATTAATGCATTCTCCAAAATGTTTCAGCAGTATGAAAATGAAGAGCTTACCTCACTTAGTTGAAAAGGGGATTTAACTGTCTCACTTTCCTGAAATTTATTTTGCCATTGTCCTTTGAAATATATGGCATTCACCAGGATCATTACAGAGGAAGGGTCAATGGTGCCCTTTCCGAAGAGGTTTGTGATTTTTCCTGTATTAAAACAAAACAGATTTTAAAAGATAACTGTAGTTGGCTTTGAACTTAGTGATGACAGAGGGTTGAATAATAACAAAGAAATGTGGATACACTTGCTAAGACTAGTTATAAATTGAGATGCCAGAAGACCTCCTTCATCTCCTGGCCACAGAGGGCTCTCTATCAAAGGATTTTACTTCAATGAATATTAAGTGCTATGTTATTTCTCTTCACAAGACAATATACAGGTGTAGCTGCTATATTAGCAATGAGTCAAACTTTCATACCTAGATTTACTGAATGTATTATTATGTTACTATTTACATAGAAAATTATTTAATAATTTCTTGTGGCCTATATTAACTATTTATTGGTCTTTGTACTTACCAACACCTTGCTACTTGCAAATTGGTTAAGTATTTTAAAAGATTAACTCATCCCTTCAATGTACTAGAATTAGTATATCATAAATACACTATAGCACTTGAAGTAAATGTGTATCTGAAAATCAAGAATTAATAAAAAAGATGTCAAGCGTTACTGACTTTATAAATATGCTGATCAAAATTTAACACTCAGCCATCTTGGTATATTTCAGTGCCCTGAAATTTACCCAAACATTTTGCAATATAATCTATCATAAAATATAAAACATAGAGATATCTAGAACACAAAATTCTAAGTTTAACAAAAGGTTCATTTTTTTATTGAATTTCTGCCTAACATAATAACTAGCATTTGATAAAAGCATTCAAATTTTAGGTTTCAGACGAGATTTCTGAATGAATGAATAAGTAAATATATAAATGCATGGTGAAATAATAATAACAATATTTTAAAGAAATCCACAACATTATATTCCTAATGCATACTCCTTGCAGCCAATACTCTATACTGCTCATTCGTTGCTAAAAATGTTTAAATGATTTGTATGTGCCAGCTACCATCCTAGGCACTAACAATAGGTTGAAACTGCAATACTCAACTAAGCAGACAAAATTCCCTACCTTTGTGAAGTTAGCATCTCAGTTGGGAGTTTTTCAGGGGAAATTTAGATTAAGCCTCAGACTCTTCCTCAGAACAAGGTTCCCAACCAACCACTACCAATGGATCAGAGTTGCCATATGAAACAAAGCACATTTTAACGACTGTGCTAAGTAAATTAAAAGACTTAAAAATGTATAAGCATTTTAAAGCATTTCCTGAGTTAATAAAGAGTTGAAGAGATATGGATTTTAATCTGATCACCTGATATTAAATTTGAATAAGATCTATTAGTTCATCAGTCAGTCAAGAAGGTACTATTAAAAGCTCACTGCTGTTATATGGTATAATGAAATACATATGCACGATTCTTATGATCAGAGACATATTTTATATAACTGACAAGGTCTCCACAAATGCAATTTGCTCTGAGTTAATAATTTGATGTGATTTAATCCTAATTTTCATTTATCATTTAATAAATTAAATTATTTCTTACTTTAGAGAATATGATTGCCTAACTTCCAAAACACAGACACTAGTGGCACAAAGAAGTGAGTAAACTACACAGAGAAAGGATAAGACAGTAGTTTGACTAAACATATCTTGTGGATATTCCCTTCAGACAAAAAGAACTGCAAAAAAACAATCTTAAGATACTTCCGTTGATTTTTTTTTTTTTTTTTTTTTGCTGATTTTTTTCATCTTGAGACTCTATACTTTGGGATGAGGTAATTGTGCAAAAATATTGATGATGTTATCTGATGAACTTTTACAGGTAAGATAATAATACATACTAGATAAAATTCAAGAAACACCTCACATACCTAGAAACAGTTTATCAAAAGATGCAAAACTTTGGGGCCGGGGATTTAGCTCAGCGGTTTGGTGGCCTGCCTTGCAAGCGCAAGGACCCGAGTTCAATCCCCGGTACCAAAAAAAAAAAACAAAAAAAAGATGCAAAACTTTAGCATAGAGAAATGTAAGATGATGTTAAAAGAGCTGGGCATAGTGGTGCACACCTATAATCCCAGAACTATGAGAGGGTGTTGCAGAAGGGTCATAAATTTGAGGTAGTCTGGGCAACTGAGAGATTTAGCAGGACTGTCTCAAAATACAAACTGCTAGGGATATAACCAGTGCAGAGGCTCTGGGTTCAATCTCCAGTATCACAAAAAATCAGCCAATTGATCAACCAATAAATGGTATTGAAATAAAATTTAAAATACCTATATGAATAGAAATAAATGCAATAGTCATGAACGAGAAGGTGAAGGTATTTTCTCGTCAAATCTATATACTCAATGAAATTCCAATTTAAACTGTAATTGATATGGAAGATGGAAGACCACAAACTAATTTTGAAATACACATGTAAATTCAAAGGTAGAGAAGAGCCAAAGTATCCCGAGGAAAAGGTCAATGTTTGATGACTTCCACTGCAGCTATCAGAGGTGCTTGAAAAGCTACTATAATTATGGCATTGCTCTGAGAATAAACAAATAGATAAATGGAACAGATGAAAAAGCCAAATACCAAAATCACAAATAGTCACCTAATTCATAACAAAGTTTATGTTGCAGTATAGTGGTGAAAGGATTCTCTCTTTATTAAATAGTATGCTCTGTCAATTAGATGCTCTGTGGAATAAAATTAATTTTAAATAACTTTCATTTATAGTTAAATAATGAAGCTTATAGTAGATAACATTTGAAAATGTTTTGTCAAGTAGGGGTAAGCAAAAGTTTCTTTGAAAATATATAAGCATCCTGACCATAAAGGAAAATATTGATAAATTTTATTCCTTGGAAATTAGGAACTTGTATTCATCAAAGGCAGTATTAAGAGAGGGAAATAAGAATGGTAGAAGTTATTCAAAATATATATATTCACAATGTGCAAAGATCTCTTACATATTGCAAGGGAAAAAGACTGACAGACCATCCTTACAGATGGGCAAAAGATTAACAGATACTCATAAAAGAGGAGGTAAGACATGTGAAAAATTATTCAACTGTATAATTTCTAAGAGAAATATAAAAGAAAATGACTACAATGCCTAAATTTAACAAGACTAATAATAACAGATGTCGTCAAGGAAATTCTCACTTGTTGCTTGGGCAAATAAATGGATGCAGTCACTTAATTAAAAATTATTGGCATCAAATATAATTGAACGTAAACACCTTACAAACATCAATTTCATTTGGAGTCATATGCCCAATAAACTGCATACATATTTATACCAAAAGACATGCACCAAAATGTTCATCGGTGAGTGTATTACAGTATACATAATTGACCCAAACTAAAAATACTCCAAATGTTCATTAGAGTAAATAGACTTGGGATATTCAGAAAACAAAGCATATACTGATGACAATGAACGAGTCATGCAACATGTAACCAAATGAATCTCATAAACATAGTATTGACCTAAAAAAAGTTAAACATATACTTTATAATTCCAGTAGGATGAAATGTTAAAACAAGTGGAACTTATATTGAGAACTTAAATGGAAGAAGTCTCAGTGCTTGAGAGAAGGGGTGTTAGTTTCCAGGAGGGGATGTGAGTGTGGCCTCTCAGTGCCCCTTCTTAGGAATGAAAGTTTTATTTTTGCTGATCTTGATGATGATAATGAGTACATTCACTTTATGGTAATTTATCAAATAACTTAATACAATAATTTACTTTCCTTAAAGATATGTGTATTTCCACATTAATTTGGAAAAAAAATCAATATTTCAAGGGACATATTGACAGATTGTGATACATAAATGTTGTCTGCATCCTCAACTAAAGCAGGCAACTGGGAAAATATGAAAGCTCATTAAATATTTCTAATATTAAGAGATTATTTTCAATTTTAGAAATATAACAGTGCTCATATTAAAATAGACCCAGACTGAGGATTTAGTAGGCTCACACCTGCCGCACAAGTGAAAGGTCCTGGTACCAAAAATTTTTTTAAATAAAACAGTCTCCATTTATGAGAAAAACAAAATTATACATGTATAAGGAGAGTGATAATATCTAGGATTTGCTTGTGAGTAAAATGGAAACAAAGTCTTTGTAAATAGGGTCATGTGGAGGGATTGAAGGGAGGGCAGCTGAATGGGGAAAAAACAAGGACCAAGATATATCATGTAAAGGTACAAATTCCCAGTGATGAATGTCATCATATTGCATACCTAAAATGAATGAAAAACTTAATGAACAGTAACAAAGAGAAATAACATAGGTATAACTTTTAAAAAATAATCTGAAAAAGGTGGTGAGAATAGGGTGAGGGTATAGACCAGTAAGGCAGGCTACCAGTGATCTCTGCAGTTGGGTCATGGGTGAACAAGAGCTCATTATATATTCTCTCCACTTGTGTATATATCTTTAAGTTTCTCCTTACCTAAATATTTTTAAATAAAGAAATGAACATGCCTTTGTATTGAATATTTAAAGTGCCATTTAAAAAAAAGAAACACTTAATTTATAGGAGCCTTTAAATTGTGAAAGCTAGATTTAGTCATAATGAAATTTAATGTCAAAATTTACAGCATTTCTACAAAGTAGAAATAGTGTTCATTCTCACTCTCAGAGTCACAGATCATAGATTATTTAGGACAAAAGATTGTAAGTAATATTTCAAAGCAGGGCCCCAATTCCTTCATCGTTGGCCTATCTCAGGTTTTGAACTTCACTCAGCTTCCTTGTTAGCATATCAACTCAAAAACTCATCATAACAACACAGCTTGTAGACACTTAATTGCCTTAGCCCTACCATTTGTTTTCTTTTCAACCCAAGTATTAATAGTTTTCCTTGTTTCTTCTGTAGATTGTGCAAAGTCCACAGTTTGAAGTCTGGCTTGATAAAGTTTCTCCGAACAGCTTAAAAATTGCTGCAAAAGAAAGGACCATTGAGCAATATAAAAATAATGTAAAGAAAACAAAAATATTGCAGCTAAATATATTGTGAAATCCTAATATATGGACAAAAGCGTTTATGTATATAAGTTTGAAAAAAAGAAAAATCTGTTTGGTTTTAATAAAAAATAAATTTGACAATATTTGAAAACTTTTCAACCAATAATGTTTGGTTGTCACTTTTGTCATATCTGGCTTTCTTGGTTCTAAAATGACAAGTTGCAGCACAATGAATAACTTTTCACTCTGTTCCTATTCTTTCCTCTTCAAAGCAAATAAACAAGTTACTCCTCTCACAGTATAGACACCTTATAGACAAAATAAATACACACACAAAGAAAATCCAAACAAATCTGATAACCACATAGCGTGTGTGTCAACTTTCTCATAAGTAAAATTAACAATAATGTTTGATGTAGATAACTGACTTTTTAAAAATGTATGAAGCAACCACAAAAACATTTTAAGATATTCACTATATTCACCCATAGCATATTGTCCTGAAAGTAGCATACCAACTCAGAGTAAAGAACCTAGCTGTCTCTCCCAAATTTCTACTCACAAACCCCTGTACATACCCTCCTTGAACCACCATTGATTATAACTCATAGCTCTTAATTCCTAAAGCCAGGAACTTTCTATTTCCTCATTTGAAAGGCAGTAGCCAAAGTTTTCATGGACCCAGATGAAGTTGCCCATGGTTTCATTCTTAAGCCCTTGGGACACATGATTCAAAACTTAGAAATATGGTAGGTGTGCAAGTGGCTGTCTGGGGTCTGGTTTTTAAATTGCCTCACTAGGTTCTTATATGTCTAAACCCAACGCTGAAGAAAAGTAGAGTTTAATTAATAACACAATGGCATTGGAATGACTTTTTAAAATTAATTTTATTTGTGTGTAT